GTTAATCTGTGGTGTTCAAGGTCACCACTGGCCATAAAATTGCTTCTTCCAAGCAAAAAAATAAAAAATAAAAATAAAACAGTACCTCTGTTCTTCTCCACAGGGTAACACCCCCTTCTTGCATCAAAAACGTCCAGGTTTACATCACTCCCTACTCAGCTCCGGTCCAGAAAAGCCCAAACATTTACTATTGAAACTCCTCGGTGATGGGGGACATCAGAGTACTGCTTGCTGACTTTAAACACACAAATGGATTGAACTCTATCGTTTTACAAATCTTAACCTGAAGGGGTAGTAGCTGAGACTGATCCCTAGCACGTATTCTAAGTTGTTCAAGGGCTTCGATTAAAAACTGGTCATTACTTGTTTAAAGTCGACTGAGTTATCAAAGTCACTCATGAATCAGTGGATGGATTGTGAATTCCCCTGCACAGTAAATTGACACATACAAACAAAAATGACGACCTCGGTCAGTTTTACAGACAGTCAGCTAAAATCCCCAACAAACATTTTTGGCACGATAACGCAATACAACATAAAATGTGAATAACAAAATGGCAACTGTTCCTATCGTGAGGTGATCTTGAGCGTTCCTAAGGTCTAGGTCTTTAGTTTTTTTGAAGTATTTTTCATTATTTGACTTTAAATGTGTTTATTTTATTGCATTGAATCATAAATGCAATAATCAGAACCCAAAACCCAAATCCAGAACACCAACAAAAAAAATATATATATATTTTTTAATGAAGTCATTGGTGGGCCGGATTGAAGTCACCCGTGAGCCAGAAATGGCCCGTGGGCCGCCAGTTGAGTAACCCTGATTTAGAGATTTCTGGTGTTCAGTATGTTTCTGTTCGTTTCCAGAGCCCACTGTTAGTTTAGGACGGTTTATCTGCTGACGCTCACCTGTATTTGATCAAATGAAACCTCAAAGGTGAAGGACTCGTTGAAGTATGGGCTTAATGTCTTCTTTTTAACAGATGTCTTCCTTTTCTTCCACTTCCTCTTGTCCAGAGTCAGCTGCACCTTCGCATACGGATCTATGAACGAGCGGACAAATTGTTCCTGCAGTTAGCAACGCCTTTACAATTTTATACACACGTTTAAGTTGGAAGTTCAAAAAGGCAAGTTTGAGTTTGTGGGATGGATGGTGGCAACACAGATACTGGTCCATACTGGTCCGATAAGCACTGTTTAACACTAACCCTATTGTAAGGAATGAATTTATAGTTTGGATGGATGGAAGGATGGATGGAAGGATGGAATGAAGGATGGATGGATGAATGGAATGATGAATGGAATGAAGGAAGGAAGGATGGATGGTTGGAATTATGGTGGATGGTTGGATGGATGCATGAAATGGAAGGATGGATGGATGGAAGGATGGATGGATGGATGGATGGATGGATGGAAGGATGGATGGATGGATGGATGGATGGATGGATGGAATGAAGGTAGGACTGTCTGGCTCGTGGGTCTGACCTGAGCTTCCTCCAAGGTCCATGCTCCTCAGGTTCTTGGCCTCCAGGATCACCACGGTCAGTTTGCAGGCAGCTGGAACGAAGCGCAGCGAGAAGCAGATCTCCCCCAGGTTCTCCTCCTGTGACACACACATGTTCAACTGACCCGTCCTTCGCTTTATTTTTGTTTAAATGTTTTAAAAAGGAGCTTATTGAAAAATAGGACGAGTGTTTCAAAGACAAAAAATACTATTGCTGATATTAATAATGTGTAAATAAATAATTGTACATTCAGTGACGAGAACGTTTGGTTTACGTGTCATTTAACGTGGGAGTGTTATCAATGTTCTTTGTGTGGGAGACTTAAATGATTGTTTATTGATTTGTATGACGGGGCAGAAATCACGTCTGATCCTTTTCAAACAAATTGTGTAAAATTGCATGTCTATTGGCATGACCATTATTTTCTTTCTTTGGTTTTACTTTTTATTGTCTGTTCGAAATGAATAAATAAATAAATAAAATATGAATAGGCATTTGTTAAATAAAATACAGAGGAACCTCACAATAAAAACATCTTCTTACACTTTATTCCAGTTAGAAAAGGTGTTCGCACACATGAAACACAAAACTTCTCAACTAAAGCACGACGTGTGGCTAAAGCCCTGCAGCCGAGGCTCCGGCCCTAACGCTCAAAGATGCTAAATTATATGTTAAAGCTGATCGTTGTAGTAGAGTGCACGGCACTTCATGCATCCTGTACGTTAAATCACATCCAGTGACACGTTTCCAAACGCACACATGGAGCTCCAAGTGTTTATGGATTTAGACTCATCAATAATTGTGTGAATGTTTGTGAAGCGTTCGCTCTACTGTGATCTCTACGATTCTCGTCCCGCAGTTTTCACGTTATTTCAATAAATTATAAATCAAAATGTTCAGCTCTTTCAGGGCAACTTTAGCTTTTTGACATCTTTATCCTTTTCTGC